GTGGGTGTGAATTACCTCAAGGATCTGACGCAACGTGAAAATTTGATCAATACATCCACGGCCAGGCTGGAATCCGGCTTGCTCTTCACGGATTTTGATCTCTCTTAAAGGAGTAAGATGTCGAAGTATAACGGAAGCTGGCACTTTGGTGACGATCGGGATCAAACTAATCCCGCGGGGGCTTTCGCGATCGTTGCGGCATCCTTTCTTGAAAATGAGAACGATTAGTGACTCGCCCCAAGATGAAGGACTGTGTTCTTGCGCCCAAATGTTGCGCAGTAGGGTAGTAATGGAGCTTACAAGGTTATCACCCCCATCATGAAGAGTGTGGGAGGAAGCTCATCTGGTCCTACTGCCTTTCCTCGCTCCAGAGCTTGAATGCAAGACCGAACTTCTGCTTCTGAGGGAGGATCGCATGACACTACCCACGGAGCTTCAGTCGGAGATGAAGCAGCCTGGTTAGCACTAGACCAACTGAACTGTTCGCTGAAGTATCCTGCCCAGCGCACAAGTTGTTGATCCCTGTTGTGAATATCTCGTCCCTCTTATCGCAGACTGTTTCACTAACTGTAGTTCGCTGACCTCCCGTATTGCGATTCAGTCGGAAGTCTTTGACTATCCCCTGATGCAGCTGTAACTTCCATCTCACTAGCTACTGTTATTTACCAGTTCTCACGGTCCTTCTTGAGGATCTTCCTGAGCTGACATTGTAGACGCCACCTAACTTTATTTTGATCCTGGCAGGTCGGGAGTTATAGCTTTTGCTCCATCAAAACTACTGCCTTCTGAGATATCCAATGCCTCCGATGGGCCGGAGGCTCAGACCCACATTGAGGTGCGCTTAGCTCACGCACTAGCTGACTCATAGAGTGCACGAACTGCTGGAACAGATAGTTGATGATGAGCTATCCGAGTTTGCTGGCTTTGTCGCCAACCAGTTAGTCTGAGTGAACTGCATCAAAACTAATGCGTGGTCAGACTCAATTCAGGTGGTCCAATAGAACCTGCAATTTTGCACTGAGCCACGCCAACGATAACTTACTGCGATGTGGTAGATTTGAGTTAGCCTACTAGTTGAACTGGAGCGCCACGTTGCTGTCCGTCGAGAGCTGTGTCGGAAGTTGGTACTTGATAGGAAAAGATGATGGTCTACGCAGAACTCAAAAAGTCGATCGCCATTATCTGTTCTTTGGCTGGGCAAAGCACAACTATCGCCTAGGCAAGCTTCTGATGCGCTCGGTTTTCCAACCTGAGCGTTGAAGTCACTTGCAAGTACAACTATGTCGGAGCTTCGACTCGTCCGAATGAGATCAGTGAGTTTATCATAGAAGCGTCCTTTTGTGTATCAGAACTGTAATTAGTCGGTGCATATGCTGACACGATGAACAAACACCTTTTGGTGTTGCTTCCTTTCCGGACGCTGATTGAATCCTGGAGACGCACTGAACATAAACGACTGTTAACGGGGATCCAATCGATAAGAGAGGACTCCGCCCTGTTACTGAGCACAATACCTACCCTGTGCTGGCCTACTGAACGAGCTTCNCGCCTGATGTGCGAAGAACTTATCTCGAAGACAAATCTGGCGCGTTCAAGTGGCTTATAGTAGTAGGATCCTGGGTACGAGTCTCCGACACGCAGCAAATATCGATTGTGCGCGCTAGCTAAGCTTGTTGATCTATTTGCATCAGGGTCCTCACGTTGAAGGCCCCCAAATTAAGTGATTGACGAGGTTTTAGAATCTGAAATTCGTTTTGTGATACGTTACTCACAGTGCTATTTGGCAACGATCTTTGGCAAGCGACATCCAAGTTGTTTGAGGGACTATTACAGGTCGGAAGAAGGGTAAAGGGAGAGGGTTGGGTACGGAAGAAAAAGAGTTAAACAAAGGTTGGGATATCTGAGCAATAGAACACGTATCACTCCTCTCCCCCCCTCGATGCAATGGGCAGTGCGGTCCTGATTATCCTGCGCGACGACCGATGCAGTATGGAATAATTTTCATTTTGTGTATGCATTCTAAATCCCACGAGTACAAATTTAAGGTGAGGAGTTTTCCGAAAGTGCAATCCGCTATGGAGTGAGGCAAGGTTAACCAATTGGACAATGAACTGTGAAAGGATTAGCTACTTTGGAGTTCGGCAGAGCCTATTGATTACCATTTCAGGTTTGGAGTTCGTGAGCTATGTTGTCGTCTTTCGCCATTCTGCAGCCAAAACTCAACAGATTCTTGATCGAATCAACCTCTATGCGACGACTATCGGTTTCGAAGTCCACACAGTGAAAACAAATCATTCCGATGGATGGATGATCCTTGCTAGTGTATACAAAAATTGACGACGCACTGGCAGTTATACACTTCCACATTGAACACAGGAGTTTTGTCAGCACCAAAACAGAAGTTGAGAACTTTGAAAGCCAACGGGGACGAGCCATTCAGGTCAGAGGCTTCACGCCTCTTGAGATTACTCATTTCCAGAGTAACCTTTATGTCAAAAGCACTGATATGATACGGCAGAAATTGTACAGTCGGGGTAGTTGATAAGTCTAGCTTTGACGGAAGCCAGCTTATCTGTG